GAAATAACCTCAGGTTGTGAGCAAAAGAGTAATCATATATTGAGCTAACACCTTCCGCCCCCACTGAAACAAAACTGGGCGCAACCAGAAGGCACAAACTCTCAATATTTTGGACCGATGACAGAGTGTCCTCTCGAGGCTCACTATAATCTTATAGCCGCCGTATCGGCGAATCCGGCTCGGCAATAACACCATGATTTTCCTTTTATGGCTCGGCTACAGCCAATACCCTGCCTAATATGGGCTTATTACCGATATCGGCTCCCACGCAGACTGTACAGTCTGACGGTGGCCAGTCCTTGGTTCTAAAATCCACTGATGTTCGTATAGTAGGGAATCCGTCCACTTTGGCGCTTCGTAGATTTTTTCAGTATTAGTTTGGGTCTTGGGGATGCTTCAAACCTTATTGTACAGGACGGGCCAGCGAGGAAAATATTCCAGGACTTACGGAAATTTGGCTGTCTCTTCTGGCGGGGGATAACAGTACAAGACACGCCGAGCTACGCTCCGGCACTTTCTATCGAAGTTAGCAATATCAATGAGCTCGAGCTCACACCGCTACAGCATATCAAAAGTTTCCCAAGGGCTTAGCTGAGGAAAAAAACGCACCATAGATAAGTGCACGTATCACCAGCAAAGTGTCGTTCAACCACGTTCGGGATTTATTCGGGATAAGCATGGCAGGCCAAGATTAAAAAGGAAACCCTCATATCAAACCGACAAATAAAGGTCAACAAAAGCCTACCATAATTTTGAAGATACGAGTTATTTTATATGATTGGGAGCACATTGCAACTGACACGGGCGATTGCAATCCACTTTGAGGAGCGTTGCAACCGCTTGCAGCTTAGACGTAATAAAATCTCAACCATAGTCGCTAAAAATACTCTAAAACCCGCGAGACCTCCAGACTCCTAACCGGTCGGTCCGATGTCACATGACCCGGCTGCCGAGGAGTTGCCTTTTTTGTACGAAGTACAAGGTCTGACATCTGACCGACTGGCAACAAATCCGATTTGGCTTTGTTTGTCCCGCCGTGTCCCGCCGACCAAACATTGTCGACGTCGTCTTAGACGTAATCGGCACAGGGCCGAGTCGGGGACGTCGGGAGCGGCTCTCGCTTACACTTGCTTAGGGGTAAAGGGGCTTGTATTAATAAGGAGT